GCCTGGCTATTTTTTTTTTTTTTTATTGCAGTTGTCATTGTTGTTTGGCAGGCCCAGGCTGGATTTGAACCCACCACCTTAGGTGTATGTGACTGGTGCCTTAGCCACTTGAGCCACAGGTGCCAAGCCACCTGCCATGTTTAGTACCATAACATGCTGTACAGATTTGTTACCTAGGAGCAATAGGCCATACCATATAGCCTGGGTAAATAGTAGGATACATGTATACCTCCTATACCACAACAACTAAATTGCCTAATGATGCATTTTTTTTTCAATGATGCATTGTTCAAGCTTCTCCTCATGTGGCAAGCAATGCAAAACTATATGTGAAATCCCTTAATTAGGGATTAAGTTGCTAAAGTAATTTCTAAAGTTATCATTATTTACTACATATGAGTTTTTTTTAAATGAGCAAAAAATGTGTTTTGTGTCAGGGGAACTTAATTTGGGGGTAGATTTTTGATTATTTAACTTGCTCCAGAGTTGCAAAGTGTTTTGTTTTGAAGAAAGGAGTGAAAGAGAAAGTGGTTGCAGTCTGGAAAAGTATTTGAAGTTTTATTCTATTTAAGGTAATTATTGTAATTCTATTTAAATAATTATTGTAATTTTATTTAAATAAAACCAGTAAAGGAACTGTCAAACTTTTTTTTTTTTATTGAATGATAACTATGTACATTAATACAATTCTGACAGTGTGGTGTTTTCGTATACGGAACTGTCAAACTTTAAGAATACTAGTTTCTTTCCAGCTACTGGGGAGGCTGAGGCAAGAGAATCGCTTAAACTCAAGAGTTTGAGGTTGCTGTGAGCTGTGACACCACAGGACTCTACCGAGGGTGACATAGTGAGACTCTGTCTCAAAAAAAAAGAATACTCGTTTCCTGGGAAATGTGAGAGGAAGTAAGAAAGTCAGCACCAATTTCAGAAATCTGATTCTAACAACAGGTCCATCCCTAAATGAGGTAAATCTTGGAATCACCTCTCCAAGCCAAAACTATTACTGTGCACCAAGTCATATGCTAGACCCTGGGGAAAAAGATGAAGCACTATTTTATCTCCAGGTGAGAGAGACAAACCTCTCTCCGGTGTCCACAACCATATTAGAATTCTAACAGTCCTCACTTCTGCTCTCCAAACTTCAAGTAAGGGGTCAGAACCAAGAGCCAGGACTTTAGTAAAAGCACCAGGAAAATTCTGAGTTTCACACTTTCCTGAGAGTGATACATGCTGAAGAGTTGTGAAATAAGTCACTTGGGTTCTGTTATAGTAGTATTTGAAGATAATTATTTAACATGCTGACTTTAACATACTGTGTGTCTTCTCCATGTGTGTGTACAGGTTAGACTTCTGAAAAGTGACCTAGTTACTTCTAGATTATTGACTGTGGTTATAGAATAGGGGGAAGTTTGCCCATTGCTGACCTAAGGAGCTACTCATTTGCAGCAACACCTTCTCTTCTAAGTTGAATTACTCAACTCTTAAAACCCTTCCTACAGAAATTTTGGAGTCATCTCTCATTCCATGGCAGCCCCTACCTGATAGAGTGGTGAATTAATTGTCAAACATGGAAGAAAGGATACTGAAAGGAAATGGCAACATTTGGAGTAAATAACAAATGGAGCAATGTGTGTTTTGCCTGCCGCCCTAACTGGTGCTCATTTTGCAGGTCAATTGTGTTTCTTGGAAGCAGTACTGCCAGGGGGAAGAAGAATATCTCTCGGATTTCAGCTTGGAGGAAGACGAGTTCAGGCTGCCAGAATTGAACTAGTACTTCTGAATGTACCAAGAGGCGAGACCTTGTGACTTCCTCAGGAAGCCCTGGCGCCCCTACCATATTGGGCTGCTGGAGTGCTGGGGGCTACCCTGTAGCCCAAATCTTGTTCTGCTAAGGGCGGGAAGGGCGTTCTGGTGTGAGACAGTTGTATCTCTGTGGGGAAGGGGGTTGGGCTCAGGGACTGTGGGCAAAAGCTCACAGGCCGATCTGGGCCGGAGCTTAATAAAGGTTGCTGCGTAAATAAAGGTTGTCGTAGATAAAGGGGGGGGGCGGGGCACGCAGTTGCTATGGGTGCCCGCACTGCGGGGCTGCCATAAGAGTTCCGGCTCTCGTTGGCGCCGGAGTCTCAGGACGTTATGTCTCTACTGCGACCGTGGACCCCACGGGTCCTTCTCACGTGGCAATTGTTGTGGCTGCTGATACAGGCAGCTCCTGTTTGGAGGTGGTCACGGGACCGGGTGCAACCTACCTCTGAATCCCCAGGGCCGAAAGAGCCCTGGTCTTCCCTCTCTTCCGTCCCACCCGAATCGCCCCATGTGCCTACACCCCCAGCAGATCCTGGGGGCTTTGATTACCTGGAGTCTTCTGCTCCTTCCCAGATGTTGGCTCCACCTCACGAGTTGCCTGAGAATTTGGTTCCATTCCTGGACACGGATTCGGCTCAAGAGCTACGTCAAGGGCCAGATATTGCTGTTCTACATCGGGATCTGAATGATAAGCTAAGGAGACAACAAAGGCTTCCAGAGGTGGTTCCAACGCCAGGTTGGGATCAGAATCAAGTCCTAACTCTGCCTACTCAACGCAGAAGGAAGATTCAAACTGTAAGTCCAGATGGGGTTACAGGTCACCAGGCATATGAAATACTTGTTCCACCTCTAGATAGTCACAGTTCAAAACCAACAAGATTTATTGTTTCACCAAAGAACCTAAAGGAAGATCTAGCTCATCATCCACGGCTCGCTAAGGTTGTTGTTGGAGCTCCAGACCAATTTGAATCAAAACCTCAGTCTCGCAAACAAATTCTGCAGAATGATGATTATACAGATCAAAGTATGGATTTACTTTACCCTGGCAGCATACCTCTGGGACTCCCGAGAAACCCAGAGGTGGCTCAAGAGGCCCCTGCACAGGGTGAACTTTCTCAGTTCAATATAAAAGATGAAACTCGAAATCCAGAGACCCCTGAGGAGATCTCATCCTCTTTACTCCATCAAGAAACCGTAGAAGAGTACCCTGAGGAAGAAGAACCTTCTTTAACTGAGCAGCAGGCCCCAGCTCCGGCTCCACAGCCTTTTGAGCAGGTTGAACCTTCTTTAACAGAGCAGGAGGCCTCAGCTCAGCAGCCAACTAATACTGAAGAGGATGTGGCTCAGCCAGTGATACATCATGAGATAAATGTTCCATCTCCAACTCGGCCTGAAACTTATCACTCAGTCTTGCCCAAAGTCACAGTTAAACCTGTAGATCTGGAGCTTACAATAACTTCAGAGCCAAGTAACAACATTGAACCTACTTCAAGACAGCAGCAAGTCCCAGCTCAGCCTCCAGTGCGCCCTGAGGAGGTGGAACTTTCCTCAACCCAACAAGAGGTCTCACCTTTTGAGGAGGTTGGACTATCCCCAACCCAACAAGAAGGCCTAGCTCAAAATCCAGAGCGCACTGAGGAGGTTGAACCTTCTGTGACACAGCAGGGAACCCCAGCTCAGCCTCCAGGCCTTCCTATGGAGGCTGAGACTTCCCCTAGTGAGCAGGAGCAGCCACCTCAGCCTTTTGTGTCTCCTGGGGAGACTGAACCTTCTCAAATCCAGCAGGAGGCCACAGCTCAAGCTTCTGAGTCCCCCATGGAGAATTTAGCTCAAACTCCACCTAATCATGAGGTGACAGAGTTCCCTATGGAGAGTATACCTCAAACTCTACTTAATCATGAGGTGACAGAGTTCCCTATGGAGAGTATACCTCAAACTCCACTTAATCATGAGGTGACAGTTCAACCTCCAGGTGAGGATCAACCTCATCTTTATTACTTGCCCAGTGTTACAGCTAAACCTCCAGATATGGAGGTTACCATAACTTCAGAGCCCACCAAGGAGGCTGAATCTTCTTCAATCCAGCAGGAGACCCCAACTCAGCCTCCAGAGCATCCTGAGGAGGTGAAACCTTCTGCCACCCAGGAGGAGACCCCAACTGAGTCTCCAGGCTTTCCTGCAGAGGCTGGACCTCCTCCCAGTGAGGAAGAGCAGCCACCTCAGACTTTTGTGTCTCCAGAGGAGACTGAACCTTCTCAAATACAGCAGGAGGCCACAGCTCAAACTCCAGAGTACCCTATGGAGAGTATAACTCAAACTCCATCAAATGAGGTGACAGGTAAACCTCCAGATGTGGAGGTTACCATAACTTCAGAGCCTGTGACAGAGGCTGAATCTTCTTCAGCCCGGCAGGGGACTCTAACTCAGCCTCCAGAGAATCCTGAGGAGGTGAAACCTTCTGCCATCCAGGAGGAGACCCCAATTGAGTCTCCAAGCTTTCCTGGGGAGGCTGAGCCTTCCCCCAGTGAGCAGGAGCAGCCACCTCAGCCTTTTGTGTCTCCTGGGGAGACTGAACCTTCTCAAATCCAGCAGGAAGCCACAGCTCAAGCTCCTGAGTCCCCCATGGAGTCCCCCATGGAGAATATAGCTCAAACTGCACCTAATCATGAGGTGACAGAGTCCCCCATGGAGAATATGGCTCAGACTCCATCAAATCATGAGGTGACAGTTCAACCTCCAGGTGAGGATCAACCTCATCTTTATCACTTGCCCAATGTTACAGTTAAACCTCCAGATGTGGAGGTTACCATAACTTCAGAGCCTACCAAAGAGGCTGAATCTTCTTCAACCCAGCAGGAGACCCCAACTCAGCCTCCAGAGCATCCTGAGGAGGTGAAACCTTCTGCCACCCAGGAGGGGACCTCAACTGAGTCTCCGGGCTTTCCTACAGAGGCTGGTCCTCCCGCCAGTGAGCAGGAGCAGACACCTCAGCCTTTTGTGTCTCCTGCAGAGACTGAACCTTCTAGTATCCAGCAGGAGGTCACAGCTCAAGCTCCAGAATCCCCTATGGAGATTATAGCTCAAACTCCACCTAATCATGAGGTGACTGGTAAACCTCCAGATTTGGAGGTTACCATAACTTCAGAGCCTACCAGTGTGGCTGAATCTTCTACAGCCCAGCAGGAGATCCCAACTCCACCTCCTCAGCCTTATGTGTTTCCTGGGGGGACTGAACTTTCTCAAACCCATCAGGAGGCCACAACTCAAGCTCCAGAGACCACCATGGAGAATGTAGCTCAAACTCCACCTAATCATGAGGTGACAGTTCAACCTCCAGGTGGGGATCGATCTCATCACTATTACTTTCCCAATGTTACAGTTAAACCTCCAGATGTGGAGGTTACCATAACTTCAGAGCCTACCAAAGAAGCTGAATCTTCTTCAACCCAGAAGGAGACCCCAACTCAGCCTCCAGAGCATCCTGAGGAGGTGAAACCTTCTGCCGCCCAGGAAGAGACCTCAGCTGAGTCTCCAGGCTTTCTTGGGGAGGCTGCACCTTCCCTCAGTGAGCAGGAGCAGCCACCTCAGCCTTTTGTGTCTCCTGGGGAGCTCGAACCTTCTCAAATCCAGCAGGCGGCCACAGCTCAAACTCCAGAGTCCCCTATGGAAAGTATAAGTCAAACTCCACCAAATCATGAGGTGACAGGTAAACCTCCAGATGTGGAGGTTACCATAACTTCACAGCATACCAATGTGGCTGAATCTTCTCAAACAAAGCCAGAGGCTTCACCTCCAGAGTATCCTGAGGAGGTAGAAACTTCTCTAGCCCAGCAGGAGCAACCAACTCTATCTCCAGAGCATCATGAAGTAACAGTTTCACCTCCAGAGCACCATCAAACTCAACATTCAAACTTGCCTAATGACATTGTTAGGCCTGCAGATGTGCAGGTCACCATATCAGGAGAGCCTACTGCAGAGGCTACAGATCATCTCTCAGTGCCAGTCAGTGATATGGAACCTTCTATAACCCAGCAGGAGTTCCCACCTCTGTCTCTAGAACCTTCTGAAGAGGTTGAACCTTCAGATCATGTGGTTACCACGACTCCAGAATTCACTAATGAGGTTGACATTTCATCCCAACCGGAGGCTCCAGTGCCCTCTCAGCAATTTGAATCTTTGAAAGGCCAACAGCAGCCAAATGTCCCTGAAAAGGATGAACATCCTCCATTCCATCAAGGGGTCCCAACTCAGCCTGAGGAGCTTCCTGAGGAACCATCTTCAGACCAGCAGGGAATATCAGCATTGTCTCAACTACCCACTGTGAGTGTTGAACCTTCATTGTTCCACACACCTAAGCCTCCAGGATTCTCTACAATGATTGAACATTCATTGTCAGATGAGGGACTTTCACCTCTAGATCTGTCTACAATTTTCAGAAGTCATTCAACATTGCCTACCACCACAGTTAAACATGTGGATTTGGAGCTTACCATATCTACAGAGCCCACTTCGAAGGGTGACTCTTCCTCAACCCAGTGGGAAGATGCCACTCCACATGCAGTTCCCACTGAACAGGGTGAATTTTTACCAACCCAATCTGATCCCCTTTCCCTACCTCCAGATCCCCCTGAAGTGTTTGAATCTTCTCTAGTCCAGCAAGAGGCTGTGGCTCAGACTCCAGATCCCCCTAAGGAGCTAGAACTGTCTTCAGTCCACCAGGAGGCCCCAGCTGAGCCACTAGAGCCCCTTAAGGAGGTTGGACCATCTGGGAGCCATCAGGAAGCCCTAGGTCGTCCTCCAAAGTCCACTGAAGAGGTCAGACCTTTTCCAACAGAGCCGGAGTCTCCAGCTCAGCCTCCAGAGCTCCCTAAGGAGGTTATGGCTCAACCTCCAATGAATTATGAAATGATAGTTCCAACACCAGGTCTAGATCAAGCTCACTATCCAGCATTGCCCAGGGTCACACTTCAACCTTTGGACATGGGGATTACCATAACTCCAGAAGTCACTACAGGGGTTGAACATTCTTCATTCATACAAGAGACACCACCTCAATCTCCAGAGCTACCTAAGGAAGTTGTAGCTCAACCCCAACTATATCAGGAGGTGACGGTCATAACACCAGGTCAGGATCAAGCTCACTATCCAGCATTGCCCAGTGTCCCACTTCAACCTGCAGATATGGGGCTTACTGTAACTCCAGAACCTACTACAGAGGTTGAACATTCTTCAATCATGCAGGAGACCCCACCTCAACCTCCAGAGCTACCTAAGGAAGTTGTTGTAGGTCAACCCCAATTATATCAGGAGGTGACAGTTATAACACCAGGTCAGGATCAAGCTCACTATCCAGCATTACCCAGTGTCCCACTTCAACCTGTAGACATGGGGCTTACTGTAACTCCAGAACCTACTACAGAGGTTGAAAATTCTTCATTCATACAGGAGACCCCACCTCAACCTCCAGAGCCATCTAAAGAAATCATTGTAGGTCAACCCCAAATATATCAGGAGGTGACAATTATAACACCAGGTCAGGATCAAGCTCACTATCCAGCATTACCCAGTGTCCCACTTCAATCTGGGGAGTTGCAGTCACTTACTATAACTCCAGAATCTACTACAGAGGTCGAGCATTCTTCATTCATGCAGGAGACCCCACCTCAACCTCCAGAGCCACCTAAAGAAATCATTGTAGGTCAACCCCAAATATATCAGGAGGTGACAATTATAACACCAGGTCAGGATCAAGCTCACTATCTAGCATTGCCCAGTGTCCCACTTCAATCTGCAGACCTGGGTCTTACTGTAACTCCAGAACCCATTACAGAGGTTGAACATTCTTCATTCATGCAAGAGACCCCATCTCAACCTCCAGAGCCACCTAAGGAAATTGTAACTCAAACTGTAATGTATCAGGAGGTGACAGTTCCAACACAAGGTCAGGATCAAGCTCAGTATCCAACATCACCCAGTGAAACATTTCAATCTTTGGACCTGGGAATTACTGTAACTCCAGAACCTACTGTGGAAGCTGAATATTCTACATCTCTGATGAGTACAACTCCTCCAAGCCTTCCTGAGGTGACACTTCCACAACCCAATCAGGTTCAGGCTCAAAATCCAAATCTAACTGAAGGCACACTTCAACCTGTGGACCTGGAGCTTTCCATAACTCCAGAACCCACTACGGACATTGAACTTTCTCCAATCATGCAAGAAACCACAGCTCAACCTCCAGAGCCACCTAAGGAAGTTGTAGCTCAACCCCCACTGCACGTAGAGGTAACACCTCCAACACAAAGTCAGGATCGAGCTCAGCCTCCAGCATTACCCAGTATCACACTTCCAACTTTAGGCCCAGTATTTTCCATAACTACAGAACCCACCGTGGAAGTTGAACACCCTATAACCCTGACGGAGACTCCACTTCCTCCTAAGCTCCCTGAAGTGACGTTTCCACTTCCCAACCAGGTTCAGGTTCAGAATACAAAAGCGACTGAAGTTACAGTTCCATCTTTTGTTGTGGAACCAACCTCACCTCCAGGGTCCAATACAGAGGTTGAACCTTCTCCAACTGTGCCAACGACCCCAACTCAGCCTCCAGAGCCACCTAAGGAACTTGTAGCTCAACTACCAGTATATCAAGAGGTGACACCTCCAAACCAAGGTCAGGATCAAGCTCCACATTCAACATCTCCCAGTGCCACAGTTCAAAATTTGGAACTGAGGCTTCTCGTAACACCATTGTCCACTACAGAGGTTGAACCTTCTACAGCTCAGATAAGTACAGCTCCTACCTTGAAGTTTCCTGAGGTGACACCTCCACATCCAGACCAAATTCAGACTTGGCAGCCAAACCTGACTGAGGTCACAGCTAAACCTTTGGACCAGGAATCTACTGTAACTCCAGAACACACTATGGAGGTTAAACCTCCAACCATGCCAGAGACCCAAACTCAGCCTCCAGAGCCACCTAAGGAAGTTGTAATTCGACCCCCAGTATATCAAGAGGTGACACTTTCAACACCAAGTCAGGATGAAGCTCAGCATTCAACATCGCCCATAGTTACGGGGCTTTCCATAACTCCAGTGTCCACTATGGAGGCTGAACCTTCTACAGTCCTAACAAGCACAGCTCCTTCTCCAGAGCATCCTGAGGTGACACTTCCACATCCTGAGGTGACACTTCCGCATCTTGAGGTGACACTTCCACATCCTGAGGTGACACTTCCGCATCCAGAGGTGACACTTCCACATCTTGAGGTGACACT